GGGCCATTTACTAAGAAGGGAATGGAGCCAGGAGAAGGTGAGAGGTGATGGGAAGGATTTGAATATGAGCAATCTGTGAAACCACCAAACAGAGACATTCAAGTCATATGACCATGACAATATTCTGAAAACTATTTTAGAAAATGGAGTGACTTGGTGTAGAAGAAACATGTGGTCCTGAGCTACCTTAGACCATCACTGCACATTTCTTAATGGTGTTTAAGTGAGGTGACAAGAAGGGGCCAGGCGTGTAGTGGGGTTGGATTGTATGCTGCAATGAAGAAGGGTGGAGTCCTAACTCCTGGCACTTTGGGTTTTGTTTTTTGTTTGTTTTGTTCTTTTGAGACAGGGTTTCTCTGTAGCTTTGGAGCCTGTCCTAGAAACTAACTCTTGCAGACCAGGCTGGGCTCGAACTCACAGAGATCCAATTGCTGCTGCCTCCCGAGTGCTGGGATTAAAGGCGTGTGCCAACACCACCCGGCACTCCTGGCACTTTGAAAGCTGCCTTATTGAGAGATAAATCCTTTGCAGATGTAACCCAGTCATACCAGATTGGAGTAGGCTCTGCATCCAGTAACTCAGCAATGAGAGGTGGGGGGCTCAGAGACACACAGAGGCACAGGCAGCAGAGAAACAGGTCATATGAAAGGCAGGCAAACTGGAAAGAATGCCTGGAGTCACTGGGAGCTGGAAGAGGTGAGGCTAGCCCTTCTGGACCCTTAAGTCATTCATTTATTTTTAGTACTGTAATACAGCAGCTATAAAGAGACCAACCATGAATAAAAAGATGGTAAACTGTCTCCCAGAGTTTGAGAGTTTTAACCAACTAAGGTCTTAGATTAGGGCCAAACGTACATAACTTCATAAGGCTGAACATGTGGGTAGAATCAACAGCCAGCTTATTGTGTTATTCTTGGCGTGTATCAGCTACAAAATGATAGTACATATAAACCCACTACTATCTGATAACCTATCATGTTTATAATGCACTATTTCTATTACTGCTGTGTCAAGCCATGCACTGACAGGCGCCTGGTGTCGGAGGTCCTTCTGTTTATGTGTTGTGCTTTCATTGTTAATGAATAAAGAAAATGTCTGGGCCTTTTAATAGGGCAGAACTTAGGTAGGAGGAGAAGACAGAACTGTGAATTCTGGGAGGAAGAGAGCAGAGTCAGAGACAGACACCATGGAGCCACCAGAATCAGACATGTTGAATCTTTCCTGGTAAGCCACTGCCAGGAAAGTATTCTATGTATTAATAGAAATGGGTTAAATCAAGGTGTAAGAGTTAGCCAATAAGATGTAGGAGCTAATAGGCCAAGCAGTGTTTTAATTAATACAATTTCTGTGTTGTTATTTCGGGGCTAAGCTAGCCAGGCTGCCGGATGAACAAGCGGCTCCTTCCCCTGCAACATGTACTAACAGTACTGAGAAAGCAAATCTGGGTATTCTGAAGAGGCTTCCACCTGGGGAGGCAGTAGGCAACTTTCCTGGAGACGGTTTTATTAGCACAATGGGAAGAGGCATTAGCAAACAGTGGATGGAGACCAGAGATTCTGTTTAAAACTACATCACAGAATTCCCCACCCCCCAACAAAGCACAGGCCCTATATCAACACTGCTGAGGTCAGAATCTGGTGGGGTCTTGGTAGCTTCCAGTCCCAGCTTCAAGCACCAACAAATTTACTTTCTGATCAAAAGAAGTCAAATTAGATGTATCCCTTTGAAATTTGGCAGAATAAACTATTAATAAAATGACTAACTAGCAACCCAGATAGGTTTAAAAAAATTATGTTTTCTTCCAATCTAAAAATTGTGAAAAAAAGAAAGAAAAAGAAAAAACACTATCTTTGAAGACAACTCCATGGGGCTAAACCACCATAAGCAAACACGAGCTATATGGTGAAAGGCCACACACTCAGCAAGCTAGGAAATGTGTATAGTACGCCCCATGCAGCAGTCTGGAACGGAGGAGAAAAAATAGCGGTCCCCCATAGAGCCAGTCTCAGTAGGTAGAAAGAAAGCCTTCCCGTGCAACAAACTACTGGCATCCATGCTAAGCTCCTTGCTGGAACCTTATAGTTTCAGTCAGTCCGTGGGTGGCTGGATCAGCCCTACAGAGCTGGCACAGATAAGGAGCCCTTATCTCTCTGCCTTGTAGATGGTCTGAATTATTGCCTGACTCCAAGCAGCTATATCTCCTTCACCGCTGCCTCTGGCATGCAAAGCATCTGCATTTGCCTCCTTGACGCTACTGTGTAAATACAGCAGCACATACTGTACATTTCACACCCAGCCTGCTTAGCAAGGCTTCTTTCCCGCAGACTAGTGTCCGTGAACCAGCAGTTTCCAAGGGGATCTCCTCAGCTGGGAGGACTTCAGACATTCGACGAACTTATTGACAGGGCAAGAAAATGCCAGTTTTGGCAAACGCTAATTAGATGCTCGGGGTGCCCTTTCCGCTGGGAAAATACGCCTTGCTCTTTCTGTCATTCGGATTATGATTTCAACAACATACTTGGGCCCACGAATTTGGCGTAGCTGTATCAACACGAAATGTAATGGCAAAGCCACCTGTCAGGAGGAAAATCAGCTGCTGAGCGAGAAAACATCTGCCCGAATTCTGCATTTACTGCCTAGCTCTGTGCAAGTTCAAGAATAAAAGCTGCACTATCCTGGTTTTAGAACGGCCTCTAAAGATGATAACTCTCGCCAATTTATCAGTCAACAGTCAAAACGACTCTAATATTTAAAACTGGCAGGGTTTTGTGAGCCTTTATTTTATCATTCAACTCAGAAGATTAGATAAAACTGTGGGTCCACGCGGGGAGACAGCTGGAAGATGTTAGAAATCAAGAGTCTGACACACATCATTGTGCCCCCTAAAACTTACTTCGTGTTGAAAGCCAAGCTTGGTGGTACACAGTATTAAATAATCCCAGTATTAAAGAAGCCAAGGCAGAAATGATTGACAGAGACCAATCTGGTTACACAGTGAGCTTCAGGTTAGCCTGAGCTAACTAGAAAAAAAAACTGTCTAAAATCCCAACAACTCTGAGAAAAAAAAAATCTTTATAAAAGTCAAGATAACATGCTGTGCTTGCTAGGTTTTTGGGAAGAGAGACCCTCAACTAAAAAAAAAAAAAAATGCCTCTACCTGACTGACCTGTAGGCAAGCTGATGGGACATTTTCTTGATTAATGATTGATGTCGGTTGGTACATCTTATAGCGGGCAGTGTCATCTGGGGCAGGTAGGACTGGGTCTTATAAGTAAGCCTCGGGCTAGCTAGTAAACACCGCTCCTCCATGGCCTCTTCATCAGTTCCTGCCTCAGGGTTCCTGCCCTGACTCCTCTCTGTAGTGAACGTTTATGTGGAATATAAGATAAAATAAACCCTTTCCTCCTGGAATTGCTTTTGGGGATAGAGCATCCAAGTTCCTGCTCTGCTTTCCTGGGTATATATGCTAGTTTGAATGAAAATGACCCCTATAAGTTCACAGGGAGTGGCACCATTAAGAAGTGTGGCTTTGTTGGAATGGGTATGGTCTTGTTGGAGGGAATGTGTCACTGTGGGGGCAGGCCTTGAAGTGTCATATATGCTCAAGATGCCACTCAGTGAGACGAAGACTACTTCCTGTTGCCTGTAGGATGTAGAATTCCCAGCTACTTCTCTGGCAGCATGTCTGCCTGTATGCCAGCATGCTCCCTGCCATGATGATAAGGGGCTGCATCTCTGAACTGTAAGCTGTCACCTCAATTACATGTTTTCCCTTGTAAGAGTTGCTGTGGTCATGGTGTCTCTTCACAGCAACAGAACTCCCAAGAACTCCCAACAGTATACACCTGAACAATTCATATCACAGTCTGATTAAATAAGAAGCTCAGTCTATATTTTGTTTTGTTTTGATTCATCAGTTAAAAAAGTCAGCAACTCAGAACTAGTAGTAGAATAAATATCCCATGATAAATTTGGACACTTATTGAATATTTTCATAGGTAGGCTGTTTCTACTGTTGAAAGTTCACGCTCCGAACTACCCATTCTATCACATGCCAACAGTTCATCCCATTTCCTTCATACATGGAAATGACCTGAAGTTTGCCATTTTTATTTCCAGACTATAGTCTAAGATGTAAACTGTATCTTATACCAATAGGAAATATAGCTTTATGTGAGTAATGTCATCATTTGATATATGTGACAGAGAATGTCCCCTGGAGAAAGGCAGAGAAAAGAGAGAAAGAAAGAGAGAGAGAGAGAGAGAGAGAGAGAGAGAGAGAGAGAGAGAGAGAGAATATATGTTTATGTGTTTGATGTGTCCAGGGAATGGACAGAGATAAGGAGTGTGAGTGTGTGTGTGTGTGTGTGTGTGTGTGTGTGTGTGTGTGTGTGTATCCTGAGAACGGGAACTGGTCGAGATTTTTAAAAAATATACTGTAAAGATATTAGGTTTGTATGAAATTCCTCTGGTCATCTCCTCAAAGAAGGACATGAATGCAGAGCAGAAAAGCAGAAGGAGAAAAATCACTTGCCAATCAACCGAGATACTTCACTTCCCCAGGAAAGGAGCACGCTCAACACCTTGCCATTCATGGGCACATTTCTTAGATTAATAACATCTTTTAAATTAAGTCACAAGGCACACCAGAGTTGCCCCTAGCATGTCCTTAACCATTTATTTTGATTTATCCAAATGCCCTGGGACAACAGAAGCATGAACAATGCTGTGGGGATAAAGTGCAGCGCCTCGCCTGGCGTGGCAGGAGAACTGAGCGATGTGGAGGTGTCAGATGCCCAGAGCACTGGCTTGTCCCCAGTAAAAACTTAGTAGAGGATGGCTGTGATTACGAGGTTCATAGTGATGCAAGTCTTAACTATACTTGTACTTGGAGACACTGTAGGACAGATGTGACTTTGACTCAACACTTAGGAATTACACAGCCTCCACTCAGGCTTTCGGAGGACGGTGCCCTAACAGGCCACACTTGACCGGCTCACCTTTTCTTCTTAGTGATGATGAGCACGTCGTTGAAGAGGAAGAAGTAGACTTGCTGTTTGGACATCCTCTTTGAGAACAGCACCGTGTCTTCCACGTAGGCTATTAACTCCCCTCTTTTCACCAACCACCGGGAAGAGGAGACGAGGGGAAAAGGCTATAAAGAGAGAAAAACTCAGTGCCCATATCCAAGTGAAGGCCAATAAGACATTATAATCAAAAGGGACATCTGATGAGATGCATCATTATTTTATAGGCTGATAGTAGCAAACTGCAATTGGATATGGTATATTCTCCAGAAAGCACACATTTATTTCTCAACATAAAAACTTACTAGCGTGTCCATACAAAACTGAAAGCCCAAGAAAATGTTATTGGGCCACAAAATTATGACTCTTCTATTAACTCTGAACTTCAAAGGAAAACTGGAGCCACTTGAAATTCAAAAAACTTAGTGGCAAACATCTATCAGTTATTGTAGATAGCTCAAAGCTGAACATAAACATGGAAATCTGTAGATACCTGTAGTTACCAGGAGACCTCTCAAAGTCTGTGTTCACTTTCTGAACTACAAAAGGATTTTTCAAGAAGAAAAAAACCACAAAACTTATGTTTTGTCTAGAGAAATCCGCTCAGCCGTAGACTTGAGAGCACCTGTTTTTAAGTTTATGGTGTCTCCACTGTGTAAACACGCCCCTGAAAACCTCACTCCACTTTCTGGCTATGGAAGTCGAGTTCTTTTACGGAACCCCTCAATCTCACACAAAAGGCTGCACCCAAGGAATTACATTCTGCCTTTGCTTTATTCAGTTTTGTACGAGCCAACTGGAAAACTCTCAAAACCACAGAATAATTTGTACCCTTTTAAGTTCTTTCCTTTTTCTAAAGAATAAAAAGTAAAGTTACTAGAAACGTATACTGCCAAAAATGTAAAAACATATATCCATAAAAGAAGCAACAGTTCCTAGATACATAGTAAACAGACAGGCACAGTAACGTGGCACAGCACACGGCATTCTGCTAAGTGAAGAATGATTAAAAATGGCTGAAGGAAATTGAGGATATTAAGGAGGAAATGAAGAGGCAAAGAAAGGGTTTCATAGTTTTCCAACTTTATAAAGGGCTTTTATAAGAAGGTTATTCATCCGCTGTATACAAATTCAACAAGGAAGATCAAAGATTATGGCTAAACCCAAACTTTGCAAACTGGCTTCTAAGGGAGATCCTGGGGTTTCCAGCCCCTTAATCAGAAGCACACAGTTATGTAATAGGTACAGCAGAGTCCTGTAAGGTCAGCGGAGAAAGAATTGCTTAAGGTAAACTCTGACCTGTGTGCTTAGGAATTGCTACAAAAACACACACGTCAGGTTAGGTCCCGATTGATGCAAGTGTCGGAAGCTCAAGGCTATCCGCCATTGTGTGTTGGTCCTGGGTCTGAACCAAGGACACTTATGATGATGCTCTACCGTATATGTCGCCCTAGGACAATGCTTTGTGCAGCAACTAAGTAAAGAGCTTATCGTTGCTTTTTTTTTTAAAGTAGATTGATTTTTTTTTATAGTCTGTGTATTCCACTAGGAAATATCAAACTTCCACTTATTCACCCCAAATTGAGAGTAGCTTTCAGAATGTCTATGCTTTCTTTGAAAACCAAAGTGTGTTGTGAATGAAGCATTGTGGGAAAAGCCTCCTCTTCCCCATCTCTCTTACCCACCCAGGTCCCACACACTGCCTCCTGCCTCCACAGGTAATGGCAGATGCTAGATCCTTCATTGCCTCTCCAGAAATTTCTTCGGAAAAAGCACTTTTCTTAACAACTATTTTTTTTAACTTAATGATATACATGATTACCTTCATAGGTACCAAAGAACCCAACCATCCTTTGTTTTCCTCTAAAGCTGAGTGGGTCTGTTCTGCTTCATTTTGGTGCAATAGCTCTCCATGATAAATATCTGGATTGATTCAGATCCTCTGCTAAAACAAACTAACTATGTGATCTTTATATCCCCCCAGTAGGGAATAGACTCCTGGAAGCAGACTTGCTGGTTTGCAATAGCTTGCTTTGTAAAAATGGCAGCAAGTTCCACGACTGTGAAAATCCTTTCTAGCAGCAGCCTGCAAAATGCTGTTCCTATAACCTCAGCTGTGTTCTCACACTTCTGGACTGCTTGTTACCCCAATGCCCATTAGCAATTTCTTTATGAATGAAATGAAGCCATTTTTCAAAACCTTAATCGTCCTTTGCCATTCCCGCTCTGGCAGCAGCTCTCTAGCTTGTCATTTCCAGTGTCTGCCCCTTCTCCTTTCCTCGACACTCTGACTTTCCATGTGAGGTACGGCATGCATACTGCATGAACAAAGCTGCAGCTTCTTCTCCCCCTCTGCACACTGTCTCTGTGTTTCTGTCTTTCTTGTTCCTGTACAGTGAAAGGTTTATACATTCTCACCTAACGAACTAGGCGTTGAACTAGGCATTGTTTTCTGTTTTCTACTTACGACTTCTAGATTGATTATGTGTATATATAATCACATGAGACCTTCATTATACCCTTGATGTTATCTTAACCAAGCACACCTGGTTGTGGCCATACTTCTGGGGCAAATCACTACAACTTCTTTGAACTTCTAATTTTCTCATCTTTACAAGGGAACTGAATACAAATGTGTACTATTATCCACCAAAATAATAGGATCTTTCTTATTATCCAACTTAAAGGCCACAAGTTGTTCTAAATGACATTTCTAAGTGGTCTGAATTAGTCGACAATCTGTGTTTTGATTTATGAATTTGTATTCAGATGACTGTAGTCAGAGTATTACAAGGGAAGAGTTTACACACCCATCAGTCAGGACACCTGGGTCCTTAGCCTGATTTCACACTAATCTTGATGGGTAGCATCATTAGTGGAGTGACTGTTGACAGTTGGTCTCTGGGTTTTGTTTTCCTGGCTTACACAATAAGAGGCTGTAGTTGTCGCATATCAGTGGTTCCCAAATTCTGTACCCGTGGCAGAGAATGTGGCTTCTGCAGAATACCATGACATGCTGATCACCAGGACACTACTAAGTTAGAAAGTTTGGCTAGAAAAAAATAGGGTCACTTTAAATTGCCTGTTTAAATTTCTGTGTTATATAACAAAAACCAAATCACACTCAGAAGCTTATCCATTACAAACTCCAACAAAGAATGAGCCGTGACCCAGGTTTGCCATTAACTGCCACTGTCTACTGGTCTGGGCATTCTGATCTGTTCGTGAGCAGTGTCAGACAGGTAGCAGAAGCAGCACGGATGTAAAAACGAGCTACATGAGAAAACACGCTTTAAAACAATGGTTCAATAACTGTCTCTTTTGCAAAAACAAAGTAGTAGTCTCACTCGGCTTAGAACACCCTAGTCCAGCCAGGGGGCACCATTATATGGCAGAACCTAATGACAACACTTGAGGACTCTCCTTTATCAACTATTTTAACTGTCCAGTGGTTTTTCTGAGGAAGGTCATACCGTCATGGCTTGGAGAGAAGCCTGGAGACTACCCTAGGCATCTGGGGAGTCCTCTGTCTTTTCAATGGACAATCCTTCTTAGAAACGCTAATTCCAACCTTCTTTGTTTAGATGAGATTTAAGCAGCAATAATATGATAAACGTAGGTAGAAGGCTACCTTAATTTTAAATTCCAGCTGGGAGTTAATCGTGTACATCATCTCCGTCCTTTCCATCTTCCGTGCTCCCTCGTTGCACAGCCGAACCAACTGGGAACACAGCATAGGAGGGTTAAGAAATGTGAAGAAAAATTTTATTTACTTTCTTCTGTTTTGTATGGCCCTTTCTCCGCTCCAAGAAACCTCATTTTCAATCTCAGATCTCTCCCTAAAAACCATCTACTCTCTAGAAGTTCCAAGAACCCATTTCTGATCATTATAGAACTCACTGTGCCACCCGGTTGGGACATGGTGCTCAGATGTGGAGCGGGTAACCAGGAGTTAACAATAGGGGTGGGGGTTGTGTAAAGGTTTCCTCTGTGGCTCCACAACCTCCAGACAAGGTTTCGCCACACACTCTAGGTCTCTATCTATTCTGCTCCCATCCTCTGCCTAGCTTTGCCTTTTACCTAAGAGAACCCCATTCTACCACAAGCTACAATGCCTCCTCTCTTCCAGAACAGAGCAGCAGGAAGCAGACTACCAAGTTCAAAGGCAAAATCTAAGCACAGTGTTATGTAAAGCATGAGACCACAAAGAAATGCTGGAGGAGGGAAGTCTCAGCAATTCTTCAAGAGCATCCAGCTAAGAGACACTCTGCTCAATTAGAAATAGTGCATGATCTGCAAAGAAATGGATTCATGGGCCATTGATGAATACTTAGTAAATATTTGGGTTACTGGACTAACCCTAAACTTTGTAAAATGGCTTTCAAAGATAAGTAAAATAATGAGTGTACTTAAAGCTGATAAAAAGAAATAGTATTTTATAATAAAGTAGAATGAAGATCTTTTCCCCATTTATGCAGGAAGTAAGCAACACGAGATAATTGGAAGTTTCTGGCACGCTCAGTGTCCATTCATCTAAATCCTGTTCATATGCTACTCACGGGGGTGACCATACTTTTTTCAGCTTTCTCAGCTACCGCGTGCCTAGCAGCAACAAGCACACAGCTTTCTGTCTTTAAACATTACTTCCCTTTCAGTCACAATTCTTTCTCTCTCTCTACTCCAGGCCTGATTCCTGAAGCAGTCAGCCACCAGGGACAGCTATCGTACTGCTACACACCCAACTCATTGCTCAACATATTTCAATGCGGTTTCTGTGCCATTTACCTGTAGATGAACCCTGTAAACAGCTAAGTCATACTTGCCTCTTCTCAGGCGCACCCATGAGCTATTTGGCCATTTTTGCAATGCTAAAATCTGTTCTGTTTTCCTTTACTCTGGCATGTCTTATTTGTTTTTTGTCTCCTATGCTGGTTACTTTCTTCTACATAAGACTAAAAATTGGGCCGGGCGGTGGTGGCGCACGCCTTTAATCCCAGCACTCGGGAGGCAGAGGCAGGCAGATCTCTGTGAGTTCGAGACCAGCCTGGTCTACAGAGCTAGTTCCAGGACAGGCTCCAAAGCCACAGAGAAACCCTGTCTCAAAAAAACAAACAAAAAAAGACTAAAAATTGGTATTCCTTGGGGTTTTCACGACGGGCTGCTGCACTTACTATCCTGTATCCTCATCATGGGTAAAACCCTTCACACTCCTACCTCGAACTATCATCCATGCTGATGGTTTCTGAACCCAGGTCTCCAATTTGATTCTCTCCTCTGAGCTCTGATCCAAAATACAAATTTTATAGAATCTACATTATATATCCAAAACGAGAAAATGACCCAGTTGTCTATAATCAAGGATTATATCTCTTTGATGCCTGTCCTCCAAAGTGCTCACCAATTCCAAGTCTACTATACATATACATTCACATACACACAAAAATTTCTTTCCATCTTCTTACATGAATTCATAGCTTTATCATCATCTTAGACTATAGCCTCCAACTCTCTAACATTTTTAACAAGCTCCTTGCATGTCCTCTCTCCCTTTCTCTCTCCCTTTCTTCCTCCCTCCTTCCTTGATTCCCTCCTTCCCTTCCTCCCTCTCCTCCCCTCTCTCAGTGAGTTCTTCAAACTCTTCCACACCTGGATTTGGGTCTCTAGACACCCAAGACACTCCTTCCACCTTCTACCCCCTGGCTCACAGTTATTCTTGCTGTAGATCTCAGCTGAAATCACTTTGTACTTGCCTCCCACATCACTCATCACCCTTGAGTGTAATTCTATTTCATGTATGTCTTTCTCTTTATTCTGCACATACCTTGAATGCAATAAACACACCTGCCTTGTCACCAAATATTCAGAGGCCAGCATTAGTCCTGGTATAATGGTTTACAGTCAATAAATATTTGTTGAAGGTAAGAATCAACAGATAGCTATTAACATACCAGACAAATGAGCTATGGATGGGCACATAACACAAAACCTGTCTGAAACAGTCAACATTCCAATTTATGTGAATATGGCTGCAGAGATTTCAGTGCTTATAGCAAGGACAGGTCTGCTGGATTCTTTGAAGCTCTCTACATGGGGTTTACTGTTATCGTGGTAAGCAGTTACCTTGCTCACTTCCTTCAAGGCCCTTTTGCAGACTTCATACTTTGGAGAGTCTTTAGGTGTTTTTTGACATATAGTCTAAAAGAAGGAAAAGAAGCAAAACCAATTGATTTGTCATATGAAGCCAAATAAATTACTACTCAGCCATTTCCTCTTACTTACACAAACCACTCTTTCTGGACACGAGATTAGGGGTAAGGATATTAAAACACAACTAGCAGAATTAGAAAATATTCTTTAAATACATAAAGCCTAAATAAATCCAGCTACTTAAGAAAGAAGACGGCAGAGGTCAGTAGGTTGGCTAGCAAATCTCAGACCTGCATTATGATAGTTATTTAACTGTGGGCATGTCACTGGCCCTAGATAAGCATCATTGTCCTCCTCCGTAAAATTGTAGCAAAGCCAGACACAACACAGGCTATTGCTTTGCCTTTTGTTCCTTGTGCAGGGATCCAACCCAGCCTCGCTCATGCCCTGTTCCAGGAGGTAAGTGATCTACACATCTTAGCTGAGTGCCTGGAGTATGGTCATCTCCCCCCACCCCCCAAAAAGTGTCCCAGTTCTGGTGACCAGCTAAAGATAAGCTGAGATACAGATGCATTAAATATGAAAAACTGAAATCCTGAATCTTTTAAAAAGGCAGACCTTTTTGACTGTCAGAACACCACAAATGGAGAACTCCACACCAGAAACTGTTTCATGCACACAATGACTAAATGCATATAACTGCCTTTAGAATATGTAATATACAAGGTAGGCTTGAGACACAAATAAATTCCATGTTTAGTCTTGGGCCCCTTTCCCATGACACCTCCTCATACAAATGAAAATATTCCAAAATTATTCAAGCTGTAAAACACATCTTTCCGCAAGCATTCTCAGTAAGGAACACTCGGCTTGTACATATAACTTTGAAAGCTCAGGGAACCGATGGAATTGTTTTAAGATGACCAACCACTTCAACAAATTTAAGTCAATTTCCTAATGAATGAAATTTAAGAGGCAGTTTTTGAAGCCGCCTGGGTTCTCACATGTGGGAAACAGATGAGGACAACAGTCCCCAGGAAGGGCAGAATGTGGCTAATAACTAGCAGGCCCCCGTGTCTTAACGACCAATGAATGCAGTCTGTAAATCTGGAAGTCTGGCAGTGGAACCGCTACATGTGCAGAGCGCATCATATGTGGGCTTTCAGTAATGATTCTTCCTTTCAAAAGTGTGACCTGTTATGAAGAACGCATTTATACTACAAGCGGTACCTATGTGCACGTAAATTAGGCAAGGTTTTTAGAAATAATATTTATCGACATTATAAGTCATGTATATATCAAATACTCCATATTCTGTTCTGTTGTACTTTGAAAACTCTGCTCATGGTTCCACAATCAATTTCTGTCCCCTTTAATGGATATACAAAAATATGAAAAATATTGGGTTATTTCCAGGAGGGCAGACATCCTTCCCTGGAATCTATATGATAAAAAGTACATAAAATTATGTGCACACATTAATAATCTCAGAATCTCAAACACGATTATGACAGAACAGCCTACTATGTAACCATGCCATAAATATCCAACATTGTGCAGTTCGGTGTGATAGAAAGAGGAATACCATTCTGGTCTCCAAATTTGGTTTCGATTGATTATTAATTAATGCATCCTATCTTTAGATAGGATAAATACTGATCTAAAAAAAATATTCAGTTATTTGAAACTCCAAGTTTCACATTGGGCCAGTGACAAACTCCATATAAGACTTACAAGGTGATTTCTCCTGGGGAAGCCGAGGTTGTATTAGTAGATACTCCTAGTTACATTCACTGACACTACACAGCTCCGGCATTGTGAGCCATGCGTTTCTCAGACTGGTAAGCAGCTGTGACTATGTGTGTGCAGGAAAACAGTTTCCTAAACTACAGGAGGGGACACAGTAGACTGAAGTGATTGGAGAGGACAAAGGAAGGGTTTATGAATCAGAATTCTGAAATAACTGATAAAGCCGCCACACCGCTGTGGCAGAGTGAGAAGGTGACAATCACTGCACTGCACACCTCACTTCTGTTTGAGAGGAGCTCAGCATCTTGTGGTGGAATATGGACAATGGCATCTATACTTGCAATTTTACTCCACTATGTATCTCTGATACATTTTCATCCCGTGTGTTGGTCTGTAAAATCAATACCTAAAACCTGATACCAAGCCAATATAATGACCCAATTTAAAGTACATCTGTGACAAACTGTCCTAATTAGATCAAAAGACACCATTTGCCCATGGGCTAAGCAGGTCCTATCACAGGCCAGATGGTCTCCTCCCCCTTCCCTCAGCAGGCCTTGCCATTATTCAAAGTCAAAGGCTTCTTCCTCTAGGACTATTACCTAATACCGAAAGGATGTTGGGCTTTTTACCCACTTTACACAATGCACGATAGAAACTAGTTCACACCTTATCATGCCAGGAGAAACTGGGCCCAAAGCATCTTGGAATGTCAAGATGCAAGGGCCCAAAAACAAAGTGACTAGTCCAAGGTCTCATGCTTAGTGGTTCAGGCAGAAATGGAACCCAAGTCTCTTGAGCTCAAAAAGCTAATGTCATTCCCATTCCAAAAAAAATGGCAATGTAAGCAGGTTTCACCAAATTGACCACACAATTCTAAATTAATGATAAACTCCAGTGATCTCAAACATAGACTTTCCAACCGAATAGCATCTTCTCAATGAAGGGGTTTTATAAAAGAGATATGCATCAATTTAAGCAGAATAACAGTGAATTAGTTACTAAGATTTGTAGCAGCGAATATCCAAAGGACAAAGTCATCAAATCCTGCCTTACATCCATCAGCAGGGGAAGGCGAGTCACCCTCTGCATGGGGAGAATGAGGAAAGAGATCATGGGTAAGTTCCTGCAGTCTTCATGCGACTCAATTCGTGACAATACTTCCTTAAAGGAGGGGTTGGTGGCTCTGTGGGGAGACAAAGCAGAAAAAGACTTCAAAATGTTTCCTTTGCAAGCTCAAAAGCAAACAAAAACATATTACCAAATACTGAGGTCAATTCTCATATTACCAATGATTCTTATATATAAGCCTAACATAAACTATATAATAAATACCCTGGTAAGGACAGGCGACTTTTCTACCTTTTCTATTTAATGCTAAAAATAAGACATGGTACCCAATAACAATATTAATAATAAAATAAACATATGAATTAGATCTTTGTAAAATTGGGATGTTAACAAGAGGACACAGGATTGTAATGGAGAATATGTCAATCATAAGTTAGTATGAACAGATCAGATCTCATACTTGATCACGTACAAATCACACCCCATCAACACAATAATCAAGCTTCAAACCACTGTTTTGGCCCTGGGCATAGCCAAGAAAGAAATATTAAGAAGTTTAAATCCCCCGGAAGTAATGTTGCCTCAGATATAATAAATCAGATCAGATCAAATTAGTTAATCCGAGTTTAATCTAAGCAAAAAAAAAAAAAAAAAAAAAAAGCAACTCCCCTGGGAAGGCAGGGGAGGAATCCCATGGCAAATATGGCTGCCAGGTCTTATATAGCCTGTAGGCATGGTCTTGAGCAGCACCAGGGAGGGGCTGATTTTTGACAGGCTTACTCAGAGGCTGGATTTGGAATGAGATGAGTGAGACCAGTTTGGAATAGGGCCCCAGCTTGAGATCCCCAACAAATATCACTTAGGCAAGATTTTCAAGGGACGTTTGACCATTCCAAAGATCATCTTTCTAACAAAGGAAACTCTTTTTTGTTTATATTCACTTCATTGTTTGGGGGTTGTAGATTTTTTGGAGGGTGATGCTCTTCAGGCTAACCTCCAGCTTGCAATCCTTCTGGGTCCTTCCTTGGATTACAGACATGTCTAGCCAGGAAACCCTTGGGCCATATAAACCAGAATATTTCTCTTCCTCTCCCACTGAGTTGAAAACAGCCATGATACTGGCATATATCCATGTAGCGTTGCCAGATACTCCATACAGAATCTCAGTAGAGCTGTCTGTAGACCCTTAAAGGAGGATGAGCTGGAGATTCCAAGAGAATGGCACTCACAAAACTCTAACTTGCAACACACTTAGCAAAAACAGCAGAAAGAAATCAAACTGAATTTTTCTGACCCTTGGTCCCACCTTCCTCCCCTGCTCCTGTGGTGGTCTGCAGCATCCACAGCCCTCTTCCCATGGGAAAGGAAGGCTGCAGAACAAACCACTGGACTCCAGAACGAGAGAAGAAGACAGTGCCTGTCAGGACCATTTTATTAAAAAAAAAAAAAAAGTGACTTGAAATTCATCAGATGATGTGATTCAAGGCTACCAAAAATAAAGTGTGAAAGACCTGGAATAGCAAATTAAGAGAAATCACACAGAGCTGTCTTATTTTTATTTTCTCACACTGGGAATTTTTAAGTATCCTTTCCTCAATAGTTTTCAAAAGATTTCTAGGAAATTAAAAACAAACTTCATGTAGGTTGCACCTATATCTCACCCAGGTCCCAGGCTCCTCCCACGCCCAAAGGGTTCTGATTAAGACATCTGGGGTGGACTAGAGAATCTTGGTTGGCTGGGTTTTGAAGACTTCTGGGGTTTCTAACATGCGGAAGTAGAAGGTTACTGCACCAACCTTGAATTCCCCTAAAGATACAAACACTAATTTCCATGGGAAACCTCTCATGATGGTTTGATTAAGGTAATCTAGACAAAATCTATTTTTGAGAGTCATAGAATACAGATGCTGTAACTAATCATATATATATAGCATATATATATAGCATATATATATATATAGCATATATATATATAGTCCTGAAAAACAAAATGAAAAGCGATGTCCACCCTAATTCAGGGCTTTGCTTCCAAGCATGAACGTATATGTTCAGGTACAGAGCTCTAGCCCTGTGTTGGGTAAAGGAAAATGAAGGGCATGCAAATCTGGAGACATTTCTGGCATCAAGTGAGTGGAAGCCAGGTATTAGGCTAAATACCCTGCATCCCTGAGAAGCCACCAAACCAGACTTACCAGGCTTTGAAATCCCCAAAGTACAAGTGAGCCCCTCTTCACACGGAGAACCTAACCACAAGGCCGGCTGGGTTTCCATCCTGCCCTGTAGCATGACCGGGGAGGTGACAGGAAGACGGCATTATCTGCCCTCCTTAAAAAGTTGGGAACTGTGACTAGGAAAACTGGGGTCTCCTTCTGGTTATTAGTCTTCCCTAATAAAAGAGTTTTTAAAAATACTTGGAAGGAAGTTCATAGGCAATTGTTAGTTTGAGAGAAAGATCCCATGGGCAGGCAAGTGGAGATCTCAGCAGGTGCTCAGAGGACAGAGATGTGGAAGAGGAAGGCAGAAAGTTACACCTTTGGCCATGGCTGTTGACAAGGAGCTGAGTGGCAAAAAGGTAAGCCCACAGAGTCTGGGTAAGCAGGCTTAGAAGTGTTAAGCCAAGGAGCTGAGCTTGGGGTGGGTGGGTTGGGGGCACATGTTTATAAACAGAAATACGAATAGCTTGCTAAGAAAAGGGAAGTGCTCCCAAGAGTAGGAGCCCTTGAGTAGGGAAAGTGTTGAGCCTCCAGGGGCATGATTCCTTTGTAGGCCATTCATGCAAACAGCAGTTGCTCTCAAGTTTGTATCTGAAGAGCTGTTCTCACCCATGATGATTGTCACCTGAAACCCAGGTGGGGAAAGTTAACAGGCTCCCACACCCAGCTAGTTCTTTTTCCATATGTTAATCTTTATGTTTCCGTCTCTAGGCCCCCATTCTCCTGACACATTGTCACCCTCCCCTTAGACTCTTCAAAGATCTCACACCTCGCCTGGGGTGGCGAGAGGCACCATAAATGTCACTACTCTTAGGAAAGAGTGAGAATAACAATAGCCAGGAAGTCCTAAACTGGGTTTATGGTGGACAATGACTGTGTAAAACAGCTACTTATGATAATTGGGGGCCTCTAAAATAACAAAGCAGTATATAGAGAACACTTAAAAATTGTTGATTCTCCTATACCTCAGTTCCAAACTCTCAATAATCTAAAAAAAAAAAAAAGACGTGTGGTGAGAAACAGAATGCTTGGCTCCTTATGGTGGCATAATTAAAATCTCCACGTTTCTCTTTTTCTTCTGTTCTTTTAAACCCTCCCACAGCAAGCAGCTCAGCCCTATCTACCCAGGGAGGGAGAAGAGGGACCCTGCAAGTCCTGTAAACAGTTTACAGAGGTTAGAATAGTAAGGGAAACCCTGGATCCTAGGGACTCGCCCTGGTCCACTTAAGAACCCCCTTATGCCGTCTGGCAAACCACGTAATGGCCAGTTACTTGTTTAGAAAAGTGGGAGGTTGGGTGATGATGAGTCGAGTCTCTGGACAATGCAAAGGATGTGCAAGGGGGAGGGGGGCATGCCTTCAGCATACTTGAGGGAGAAAATTCTTCACCACATCCTCACTGCAAAAGTAACCCTCTTACACATCGCTCAAGGAGGAAACAAGTCTCCGAAGAGTCTCATGTCTATGATTAATTCATCTATCAATGAGCTCTGATCAAAAGTAGGTCAGACGATCAAAACCCGAGCCTTCAACCCTGCTTACAGCAACTTCTGCAGCGTCCTCTGTTGGTAGACTTCATTGGTGCAGTATTTCACATAGGGGTCAAATGTGGACGCCGTGTGCTTTTCTACGATGTCACTTATATCGTCTATGAAGATGTTATTCTGATGTCTTGCTTCTAACTCTGTAAAGAATCTGGGAAAGAAAAAGGAAAAGCATTTACACTTCTTTAAAGTTTTAGAAATAACAATTATCTCCATGGAGGGTTTAAAAGTAATAACAATACACAGTTTAAAATTTTTAAGTAAATTTCAAAAAATAAAACAATTCCCCCACAAAGAAAAAGCATTGAAAATTTTATCTGAATTTAAATCTACTGTATAATAATATATATTGTATATAAATTATTGCTTTAAATTTTGATTTTTAAACATTGATAATCCTGTATATTTCTTTGCTTTGGGGGTCGTTTTAAAAATAAAGAGGTTTTCCTATATCTTAAGAGCTCTCCCTGCTGGAGGAGGGAGGGCCTTGCTTACAGATTGTCTTGCCACTTAAAGCAGAATGTGGGACAGACACATCTTTGTAATCCCAGCACTGGGCAGGTAGGGGCAGGAAAATCAAGAGTACTGGTCAACCACTGAAACACAGTGAGGCCCTGTCCCCAAACCAGACAAGAGGAGAAAATGCAAACACACACCCAAGTGAACGATGACAAAATGAATCTCACATGCCCTTGCAAAATAAAAATTTTATCTTAAATATGTTAATATGCACAGTATTTAATATGTTCACAACTTAATCAGGCTGCAATTCAGAGTAATCAGATCTTGTCTGGGAGGCAGATGGAAGAGTAATTTAGGGTTGCCTGATTTAGTCACTGCACACACGAGTATAACCACTGGTTATACAATCACTGTTAATGGTTCTTTTGGCTACTGTGACTGAATAGTCTCATCTAACTATCTGTTTGAATCTCTGCTTTCAACTCTTTGCGGGTATAACCGGGGAGACTGGAATTCAGTAGTAAGAGAGTATCCACCAAGACAGGACCATGTACTACCAAGAACCAGCACGGAGGAATCTGGGTTATTCGCCAGGGAAAATTAAGTCACTGAATGAAAGCTGAGGAAAAATGACCCTTCCCCCCTCAACACTCACAGTAGTGGCTGATGGGAAACAAGGGGGCAATTACAATAAAGCAGAGTCATGGTAGGATTAGAAAAAATAAAGGCTTCGTTTTCATTCCTAGATTTTTGAACACAACTCTTAAAACTCTTGGCGTCTCCGTGCCAACACATGTCTTTCATATGATGCCGGGGAGGCACTTGGAGGTTGGGGAAGCCTAGGTAGGTTCAGGAATTGTCAGCCTGCATCCTAGGCTGACAACTAGAAAAACCAAACCATTTTTATGAAGATGGAATTCTCCCCATATCCAAGGCAGGAAGGAAGCTGAAATTCAGGCTCATTTCCCAAGTGCCTGTGGCCTATAATGCCGATCCCGTACCACCTTTACAAAGACCCTTAACACGCAGGGCAGTGGTGGCGCACGCCTTTAATCCCAGCACTTGGGAGGCAGAGGCAGGCGGATCTCTGGGAGTTCTAGGCCAGCCTGGTCTACAAGAGTTAGTTCCAGGACAGGCTCCAAAGCTACGGAGAAACCCTGTCTCAAAAAACTAAAAAAAAAAAAAAAAAAAAAAACACAAACAAAGAACAAACAAAGACCCTTAACAACAGGCTTCAGAAAGGGCCCGGTGCACTGCGGTGCTGGGTTGGCGGCCAGCCTGGAGAGGGCGGGAGGCTCTGTGTCACCTGCCCCACCCCGATGACACTTGGTTCTCCCTGAAGTTCCTCCCTTCTTAATGTGCTAGTGATAATGAGAAAATGTATTCCTGCATTCTGTGGGCTGCTCTAGCAAGCCATCCGCCAAGAAAGGGAGGAGGTTAGAAGGAACCCCTGACTTTGTAGATACCTAGGGCAGAGGGCGTGATAACCAGCGACCCAGTGAAAACTCCCAAGGTGAAATCACTGTAGGTGAGGAGGCTTTGAGTTGCTCAGTCATCCCTGAAAAGAGGACAATACAGTGGAAGTAGAGGAGAGAGAGCCATGTGGCTACAGTCTCCATTCAGGAAATGGGGAGCTTATGGGGCTGAATTGCAAACCACAGAATAAATAGGCAGACAGAGACACCTGCGGAGCAGATGAGAGGTACGCTGCAAAGGTTTGGCTGTGTGTGACCCCAAGAAGGACTAGAGAGGGGAACCTGAAAGTCATCAATCATAGTCAGAAGTGGGACAGAGAGAAGTGACAAGACAGATGGCCAGCAGCAGGCCAGGAAGGTGGACTCAAGACAATACAGAGAGGGAGCAGACTGGGCAACAATTTGGAGGAAAAAGGAATAGAATTGAGAAGATGCTAAGGTTTCTGAGAGAGGGTTCCACATGCAGAGCAGATGGCTCATTAAACCCTGAGTGGAGACAGGGGCTTCAGGAGGAAGGAGAAGCAGCGAGGAAGCTATTCATTTCGCCGGGGTGATTTCTAGGGGACAGCTGAAAACACACATCTGTGAGAAATCGGAGGAACTGGAATTCCAGGCACAGCAGAGCCAGGACCGGTGCATTTTTAGCTGATTTGACATAAATGCAAATACGTGTGATTTATTCGAATCCAACTGTTGCAAGAAAATATTCCAGGAAAACTGATAAAAGAAGTTACTATAAGTAATCACAATACAAACCCAGGATATAAATATCTAACAGGTGAATAACCTTCAGAGCTTTTGCCTTATGCAATCGTCAACAGCCTGAAGAATGCAACCACTAAGCAAAAAAAACGGTACCTTTGCCTTCCCTAGTGAAAAAGGAAATCTCATTTATTACTTGAGAAAGTTTGCCGAAATGCAGAATTAAAAACAAGGTACTAATAAAATATCTTCATGTGACTTACTTTAATACAATCCAAGCCAAGCTATATTCCCTTTGTTTTCGCATTAGCATAATGAGGACACATTTTAAGGCTTTTGATATTAGAAGACCCGTTGGTTACTCGGAAAACCTGCATACTCTGCTAATCAAGCTGAGCGGCAAGAAGACCAATACATTTCTGGAGAAGGAGTTGCCATCTCAGTAACCAGGAAGGCTGGTGATCCAAACCAAATATGGAGCCAAAGAGAAAACACTGAAGTTTTGAAGGAAACAGGACCAGGTTCAAGAAGCAATCTGGCAGACAGCTCTGAAATAGAAATTTGGACTTTGGCTCTATGAAGTTTCTTCCTTCTGCAACAATACCATATTCTTCCCGCCTTACGAGCGCCACCAGCCAGACTGTTTTACAACTAACCAAGCTGTAGAACTACCCCACCAACAACAACACTAACAGCACCGACAGTCTACACCACAGAAGTCACCAGGGGGTCACAGGGATCTCCACCAAACACCTCCCTGACCACAAACCTATCTCGCCTGCCCGTGTGGCTCTTAGCACAGCATCACCAGAGCACTTCACTCTGCCAGATTCCTCCAGTGCTTTCAAAGACAGCAGCCAGCTGCAGTTCCTCAGCCAACAGTCGGGTTGCAGTGGGTAGGAGTTCCCATGGACTCAAAGAATCCGTGTGAAGAAAGCCCAATGCAAAACATACTCCTGGTGCATAATCCATCCCTCAACATTTCCCAGAACTCTGGGACCAGATTTTCTTCACTCTTCCCAGGTTGTGTTCTTCTATAGGGCACTACACTGAGCAGGAAACAAATTCAAGGGTAAAGTAGTTCCTTGGATGCACAACGCCTGTGCTTACTTTAGCTCCTTTTGCCCTTGTCGAATAGGTAAGATTGACTATGAATGAGGAGTAGCAGCGGCCTGCAACCCACTACTGACCAATAGACTTCTTAATGAGATCATGAACTCTGCAGGTAAATGGGTGGAACTGAAAATTACTGTACCGAGTGAGGTAACCCAAACCCAGAAAGACGAAACACCATATGCCCTTTCTTATTTGTGGATCCCAGCTCCAAATCCTTAGATTTGAGTATAATAAATGAAACACCCAAAGAAGTCAGGCAAATGGGGACTGTGGTGGTGGTTGGGGAACATGGTTAGGACAGAGTGAGCTCTAGAAAGAGGAATAATAGGAGACAGGCCTATGAACATGGATGAGATAAGAGGAAAACAGAGGAAGGGGAAAAGGTAATACAAGGAAAAAGGGGGAAAATAGAAAGGATGTTTGAAAGATCCATAGGGCTACATATATCTTATAAGCTTAATTCTAAAAGTGTGTGTGTGTGTGTGTGTGTGTGTGTGTGTGTGTGTGTGTGTATTGAGGCATACCCACATCGGTAAGGCTCAGTCCAAACTGACTAATCATGAGCACATGTACTGGACACAATACTAAATGGAGGTGGGAATACTTTTGTGATACACACATACACACACACACACATGCATGCACACATCTACACACACAGTAACTATTAAGGAGACCATAGATGCGGTGGGGTTCAAGATGAGTTGGGGAGGAAAACAGGAGGAGTGATATAGGTACAGTGCTCATATACAAAGTTCTAAAGAAAAAAGAAAGAGCAGAAGTTAATAGGTAATGAAGCCAGCACAGCAGATGACAGCCCTTGGAAAGATGGCCCAGTAAGGCCAGCCATCCAGAGAAGATAAGAGATCCCGTAACACAGACCTAAAGTTTGCTTTTCAGAATATCCTCTAGTGTCTAGCACAGGAAAGCAGGCTCTGGTGGATGTCAGGAAATAAACCCTTCAGTTCTTCACGCCTTCCATACAGTCTCAAATTCAGTCCTCACACTTATACCTGCGGTAACTTATTTTAAAGATAAGCAAACCAAGACTAACAGAGCGTGAGTAAGAATTCTAAGCACCCGATCTTGGTTTGAACCCAGAGACAGAGGTCTTCTGTATTCACTGCAAAAATCTGCCACCTCTGCTCTCTTGTGAAGGCTCATCTCGTCTACTTGATGGTACTGGCCAGCCCTGAATACACACATCCAGGAAGAAGAGCAACAGCTGGGGCTAAAAAGAATCCTTACTTTGCAAGGACAGCTGTTGACTAAGTCTATTATGCAAACAAATGGTGTGGGAGGTCCTTCTGTCTATGTGTTGCTTTTACTGGTTAATGAATAAAGAAACTGGCTTGGCTTATAGCATAAGATGAGGAAGGCGGAGGCAGAGAGAAGC